ATTATTATATATATTTACATATATAGGTATTATTATTAAAGAGTAAGATATATTGGCATACTTATTGTTAAGAAAAGGGAAAAGTTGAATTCAGGAAAAAAACAAACAAAACTCTCTTTCTTTTATTAATTTTATTTATTTATTATTTTTTTTATTATTATTATTAATTATTATTAATTATTATTGTATATAAATTCTGTATTATACTTACCGCATCCCTTAACATCATTTTTCCTTGATTATTAATAATAGAGGTAGCAGTACTCATCCAATAAACATTTGTTGCTGCTGTTTCTCCGCAACAAGATTTAGGTATAGAAAGAACAACAGGAAGAGGAAATATTTCCCCATTTGCTAACGTCATTGAATCTAATACACTTTATTATACAGGAAAACATGAACAGGAACAAATAAACAAACACACAAATAATTATTTTTATAAATAAACAGGCTTGCTTATTCCCCTTATTATGATGTACGTATATATATGTGTACAAGGGAGGAGGAAAAGGAACTCGTGTTGTTATTCTTTACTATATATACTATGTGTTATTTATTATATATTTATGTATGCGTTATATAGGGCCTTATACAAGGGTATATGTATAGGTATATATAGGGTCATTCTTCTTCTTATGGTCTTATTGACTTACCTCTGGTAATCAGCAAGTGTCATAAATCCTTCAAGAGGAGCAAAAGCACCAGAAAGAATCATCTCTAGATCACACATCTGTCGCTCATTAAGTGTCCAATCTGACGGTAACGCTACAGCAACAGAAACAGCGCCACCACGAGGACGAGGAGGAGGGGGGCCAGCATTATCTGCAGAAGAAGATGGCATTTTTTCATATATTTATATAAAACTATTAATAAATTATCCTAATTATAATTAAAAAATAGATAAAAAAAGAAACACTGCAGATAATGAGGAAGGAAGGTAAGGAATATGTATATAATGGGTTGTTGGGGATGACAAGCTACGTCACGTCGTCAGAAGCGATCACTCCCTTGCATGCAATAATTAAGGAAATAAAGAAAATAAATAATAGACTAAGGGTTAATTTCCCGTAGGAGAAGAAAATGGTATAAACCTTCATTTAATTCAATATCCTTTTGCTCATATTTACGTCAGACATTTCTCTGATTTACCTCTGCTATAGTTAGAGAAGACGCCTGCTTAACACACGCAGGCGGGTTCGGGAGACGACAGACAGCTTGGCCGTCGTCTCCCTGCCCAGGCAGCAGACACTAAACATCATATTTTCTTTGACTTATTTAAATTATATACATTAAACTGTTAATAAATTAAGGTTAAACAAGAAAACAAGTTCCCTTCTTTCTTCTCATGCATTTTATTACCGCGCCACACTAATCCATTTGCACACTGGAGTCCCTCGCCGACTCGGCTGCAAGTTGCAAAAGTTGAATATACAGGGGTCCTTAGAACTGTTTAGCTCTTTTCCCTTTTATAAATAATGGTTACTTAACTTAAGGCGGCTGTGTTCCCAAAAAGGGAGGGGTTCCACTCCCATCCTGCTTGCTATAATCAGTGGCTTTTTGCACGTCGGCTGCACAACCCAGTGACGACACAAGAGAGCAACCAGGCAAGCAACGCTTCTGCAGAGAACGTCCCCGTTCTTATTTTATAAACAAATTAACAACCCTTTGTCTAAACTAATGATTTTTTATGTTTTAGGGTCTATGTTTGGCAGCTTTCTCCCCAAATTTCAATTCGATCCAGCCAGTGCCGCGCTCAGTTTCGCCGCAGGCGAACTGCGATACAAACCGTAGTCACCCTAAAATTGTATATTTCACTGAAATCAGCAAACAAAATAGGTAAATATACAGCATAACGCATTAGAAGTGCCTGGGGAGGAACAATTTCTCTGAAATACACACTCTACATCACTGTTGAATGAAATTGGGAATTGCATAGGCAGTGGTCACTCGAAGTTGCATGCTGCTGTTTATGTGTTCACGAAGAAACAGTACGTTCTTTCGCATTTTCAAGGCAAAATTATCAGGAGAATACTCATAAAAGAGACAGGGGCTGGTGCAACTGAAGAAACACCAACTGTAGGGGTGGATGCCTGGTTTGTGCTCATTATGGCTCAATTTGCCTGTTTGAGTAAGAAAACTAACGCAGAAAGGCATTCTTCAATGTAACACTTGCACATAATTTCCGAAGAAGTTTGGGCAACACCTCTTCACTGAAAGTGTTTCGAATTGCTTAGCGTGGCTAGTTGTTCTGTCGTGCCGCGCAAGGCATTCCAGAATGACTGGAGCATTTCGTCTTCTTTTCCTGGGAGGGAAGACTACAGCGTGATAGTATGCAACAGTTCTAGCTTAGTTATAAGCTTGGATAAGAGGTGTGATAGCTCCTTCATGCAAATGTTCTACAGGGGTGCGGAGAAGCTGTGCAACAGTAGCGCTGTTTCAGTAGAGTTTCCTGTGCATTACACTGTTTAAAGTAAAAACTAGACGAACAGCAGATGCGCACTCTCTCCATCATGCGTGCAAACGATATTTCTTATATACGAGAAATATCGTTTGCAAACATGAAGGGGAGAGTGTGCATCTGCTGCTCCTGTATAAACACGCTACGGTGCATGGATGTGCATTCCTCCACTAAATAACCCTGAAAAGAAGGGCCTGGGGTGCTATGCAGTATTACTTCTAGCATCCTCTGTCAATTGTAATCCTATATCCCGTCTTCGTGTGCCAAGCGTCTCAGGTTGGATTCGGTACCTACTCTATGAGCTAGCAGCGTGTTCGAAAAGCACCTCTACTCATTATACATTAAATGTATTTGTACATGTGTACAGATACATGCTACATGAATCCAATTTCGTACGTCCAAACACGATCCAGGCCGGTTTCTAAGATACCTAAAACCGTTGAGCAAGGAGCAGCCGCTGAAATACTAGTGGAAATACCCACGTCCCTGAAGTTGATTCGTCCCCCTCCAACTATTGTAGTATAGTATGCATCTTAAACAACTTTGGCACAGATTGAGTACCGATACTCCGCTTTTTCCTCCTGGAGTTGTTCGCTTTTGCAGGTACTTCAAGCGCAGTGAGCGCTCGGTGCTTATTGTTGCTACCCCTGGTGGAGAAAGCACCACACTCACAGCACGAGGGATTCTACACATAGAATAAGATTGTATTAGTTCAACTCTTTAGATGCTAGAAGGACTCAGAAAGCACGACTAACGACTTCCAATGGTCTACTCCCTCGATCCACTAAGCCGTCCCTCCTACGGCCAGTAGGCCCAATAAACTCGTATACAGCTGAGACCCACACTGCGTCAACTGCGTGTCTAGTTCTTTTGGTTGCGATCTAAAAGGACTATGCACTTAACGAAAATCCTGTTGAAACAGAAAACTTGCAAAAGCATCCAGCTTCTGTTTGGGTGCGCATCACGTCGAGCTGCTGAGCTCCGCTTAGCTGGATGCTCAATAACCGGGAAGCGGCACACATATGGGTTTTCAATGGGATTTACATAGGTCTGATAAGAATGAAATGTTGTAATCCTTGAAATAACAGTATTAAAGTGAATGGAGTCTTAAAAAATGAGTGTCTAGATGGCCGAACAGCGTTGGCTGGCTGAATGCGCTGCGGCCACCTCTCCCGCTGGTTACCCGGTTGGGTGAACCGGGCACGGCCAGCAGCAGTCCAGCAGACGGGCGAGTCGATGTGTTCACAATCCATTCGTTTCTTTCTGCTTTCTTCTATCCTACCACCAACAAAGTTTTTGTTGTTTGTTCATCAAAACACCTGAAAAGTGTCCTTAGGGGACGTGTGTACAACATCTGCATCCACAACAACGCTTGCGATCACCCGACCGCCCGCTGCAGCTGCTCTGCTGCTTGCGTCGCATCGCATACTGTCTGGCGGGTCACTGTCCAGCGTTTGGAGAATTGTGTTTGCTTCTGTTGTGCTTGTTAAAACAGTTCTTTTGTGAATCCTAGGCGACAATAAGTCTGTTCTTCACGGGGAGTGAGGCAGGCGGCGATGTGCAAGAGCGGTCGTTCCTCCGCAGAAGGATTCCTCATCAACCAGGGCGCAGCACAACGCAGCAGTGCCCAGGTGGAGAAGTACATGTGCATAGCTTGCTTATTCAATTAATAAACCTCTTTTCTTCGATTTCTAGTTGTTTCCTTTGATGGTGACAAATGCACAGGGGAAGAACGAGGGATGCGCCACCCACCCCAGTTTGCTTCTGCTGGCTGTGCACTGCACAGAGTCCGGTGGGTCAGCTGGTGGTGATCGTCGACCGGCCGTTTCATCTCCTTCTCGGCTTTTTTTCTCCAAAGCCCTCTCTCTCTCTTGCTAAACTACATTAGAGGAACATTGTCTTGAGATTCTAGTTTTATACTGCAGTGGCGTCTCCTCAAGGGCACCCTCCTCCCGCAACACACGGCGCTGCCAAGCAAGCGCTGCGGGTTCAGGTCACTCTTCGCCGTTTCCAGCCCTCTAGGAGGTGTTTGGGAGTTCTGTATCTGTGTGTATCCGTTTTATCGAATTAACAGCTTCTTGGACCCCGTACGCTGCAGGAGACGGGTAATCTGTGTCTGTGCAGCAGCTGTCACCCTGAGCGACTCACCGTTAGCAGGGGGGAGATAAGAAGAGGTAACAAAAGAGGCAAAAACAGCTTTAAAAGCGTAGCAACCAATTTTCAAGGGATTACTGGAGGGGCCTGACCCTCGGATTCTGGAGGGCTGAGAGCTGCCTTCGCATCTCACAGTCCGTCCGCCGTTTTTTACGAGAGGAGAGGGTGCTGCAAGCTAAATTGCTGTTGCACCAGTGAAGTGGAAGGTCATTCTTCCTCTTTCCCTTGTGATAGACCGTCTACCACCCCGGTAGGTGAACAGTAGACATCGGAGGAGTTTTATCTTCTTGGCGCGACGTCATCCGTTCGTAGCTCACTCGTCCATCAGCGACATACCCAAACAGCAAATCCCTGGACTTCTGTTATATACATCTTGTGTGCTGCTAATATGGCCACCAATGGGGGAGGGCCCTCACCGGGTCCGGCCTCTAGATCGAGGCAGTGGGAGGTTTCGCCTATTGGCTCGCAGACACAGACGCGTGAAGAGAGACTCGCGCGGGAGTTAGCAGTTCTGGAACTCAGCAGGCGCGTGTTGAATGCTCGTGTGACTCATTCAACGCAGTCAGTCACCAATCCAGAGACGGAGAGGGTGCCTTCTAGAGGAACAGAACCCAGTGGATGGGGCGGCTGCAGCCGTCAGAATTCCTTGGATGAAGGAGGCGTCAATACAAGTGGTGGCCTGTCGCCAGAAGAATTCGCAGCCGCCTTCGAGAGGTACATGGCAGGATGCGTATTGCAGCAGACCACTGAACTACAACAGCAGCAGCAGCAGCAACAACAGCAGCAGCAGCAGCATTCGTTTTCTTCTGCAGACACGGCAGCCTTGCTATCTTCCGCAGTTGATTTGTCTGGCCTGCGTGAAGGTGTGCAGATGCCGCCGTCTTCAGTAGGGCGCAGCAACGACGCTGCAACGAGGAGTTTTTCTTCCTCCACTAATTCATCTAGGGGTCCTGGAGCCCATCAGCAGACGTTGAACGCAGCGCATGCAGCAGCAGACGGAGCTGCCTCGCGTAGTACCGCGTTAGAGGTGGAGGGCCGCCGCCGGACTGGCAGTGGTCAAGGACACGAACCTGCAGATTTTCAGACTTTCATGTCTGAATTCGCCACTAGCGACGCCGCTGAATTGTGTACAGGGGGTAGGAGAGGACAGGGTGCAGGAAGTACAGCGGCTACAGGAGGGAGAGATGGAGCGGCCAGTAGTGCCTATCCTCTTCCACTTAGGGGAGGCAGTGGGGAGCAGGAGGGAGGTGGGAGACCAGCAACAAGTCAAGAGGAGGACTTGTTGAGTACTTCACTATTCTCCCGACTTATGCAAGAGTGCCAAGCGCAGAGTGCGGGAGGCGACATCGAGCTTAGCAGCGGTGACCAACTGGGGGCGATCACCAGCAGGATGAGAGCAGAAGGGGGCGGGCGGCTGTCTGCTGCCGTGTCCGCTGAACTTCTCGCCTTTCTGCAGCAACACCATCTCAGCAAACTGGCGGAGAAGCCAGAGACAGGAAAACGGCTTCTAGGAAGTGCCAACAGCACAGCGTGCAACAGCAACATCAACAGCCGCAGGACTAGCAACTGTAGCCCCGGAGCGGATGATGAAGAGGAGGCTCGGGCTTACAAACGCCGTATTTTAGATATGCATATTCTAGACCAGCGGCGCACAAGTTTCGCCAGCTCTAGCAGTAGCAGCGGCAGCAGCGATTTGAGGCTCTTAGCAGCCTCTCTAGCAGGGACCCGAGAGGGTGGTGAGGTTTTGGAGGGACCAGAGTCTGCAGCAGCAGCTGGCGGGACTGCGGAGCGTAGAGTGAAAACAACAGGACATGAATTGGTTGGGGGTGTGGCGAGTGACTCGCCGTCAAACCCATCGTCGCCGTCTTACTTAGCAGAGCTGCAGCTGATAGAACGTGTGACAGCCGGTGATGCGTTTCTTCAAGAGGAAGCCTTGGCAGCATCATCCTTTAGGGGGACTCTCGGCTACTACAGCGTATGCGAGGGTGCCGGCAAGGACGAGTGCTCAAGCCAGCGCCTGTACCCCATAGTACGTGGAGTGTCACGCGATAACACCAAGAAGCGCTGGGCTGTGTACTGGAAAGGGTACCGACGTTACTTCTACGATAAATTCTTCGAAAGCTGTGTAGAGGCATACAGGAGAGCGGTGCAGTTCAGACAACAGGCAACCACTGCAGCAGCAGCTGTCACTGCCACAGGAAACCCAGCACATCTTATAGCTGCAGGGCTACACGGATCTCCAGGAGGAGGCAGCAGCAATGCCAAAAACCATCAGCTCAAGGCGGAGCACTCCGAATGTGTTGCTGCTGTACTGGCCTCGGCTGCTGCTGCTGTTGCAAGCAACACAAACGGTCGCAAGGGGAAAAATGCTTCTCCGGGAAACAACGGCACACGGGACGACAGAACTCTTGTTTGTTTGTATAAGGAAGCAATACTCTTCATTCTGGAGGACCTGAGGAACAACGTACTAGCCCAGTACCTCACCTCCAGGGCGGCTCTCAACGCCAGCGCTGCCACTTCAACCTCCGGGCAAGGCTCTCCAGGGGAACTAGCAGCTGCTACAACAGCCAAGCGTCTGATGGACCAGACGCTGCTAATGCACACCAACGTTGTGGGGAATGCCACCTCCACTGCAGAGCTCCAGCCATCCCTCATGATCGTCGCCCCCTGTCTCGAGGAGTTGAAGCTTCCGAGCCAGCAGACGCCGCAGCAACAGCTGTCACTGATGCAGTCCATTCTTGCGATGCACATACAGCAACTTGTATTGCTATCGCGATACTTAAACAAAGGGATTGCCACCTTGCCTGAAGGGGAGGAGAGCGGTAGTGCAACCGTGCAGTCCAAACACCCAGAAGTCAAGGGAGAGAGCGAACAGGCAGAAACTACAAGTGGCCCTGTTCATGAACATCCACAGGAGCAGCAAACAGCTCCAGCAAGCGCAGGAAGCACTGTAGGTGTGCCCGCGTAGCAAAGCGCTTCAGGTATGGGAGAAGCTTCACTTTCCGCAATTGGTTTGAGCTGCAGAGGGCATCGTCGGATGCATCTGGACCACCATGTTCCGCCAGTTTAAAGAAGACGTTTGCAATGCTTGTCTCAGAGGGGGCATGCACCATCAGCGGGTGCTGGCGTATGTGCGCTGCGCCAGATGGGTTTTATATAGATTATAGGGCGTGTTCTGCGTACGCTAGTCTACACAAGATAAACCAGTTATCTGCCGAGCTGCTGTTCAGCAGGCCGTGGGATTAAATACCTGTTCAAATTCAGTATTCAGTACTGCTACATCCGTTCAAGGCGGTGCAGTATGGAGACGCGTAAGTGCTCTATCTAGAGGAGGACCGGTTATGGTGGAGTGCTTTGCGGTGGCTTAATTTATGCAGTTGGTAGCGTATTATGAATTCAGACGCCTCGTATGTGACGTGGGTGGGCATCTAAGCATCAATCAACGCAGCGTCATTTGCCGACGTTCTCACTTCTACTCCATTATGGTGACTGGCTCGTTGCTTGGTGGGCCACCAGTGGTACTTTCAAAGCCGTAAAGGATTGCAGCAGTACCACTGGTATTCCGAGGCAGTATTGTGCCCTTGGAGGTACAGGTGACTCGTGCGGTCAATTTTTGGACTAGTGGAGGGAAGGCGTATTCTAATTGTTGGATATGAACAATTGTAGGCTATTTCAGGTGTAGCAAAAGGGAGCAGTCAGTCAGCGTGAGACACCGGCATTTTCTTTGCACTGGTATAGGTGTTCAAGTATCAGTATACGGTAGTAGATACGCAGACACATGTTAACAACCCCGTAGTAGTAGTCGTTCCTGCGATGGTAGACTAGTAGATGAGGGCTATGCGCTATGGGTATGAGTACACGCTGTACTCCTATTGTTCGTATTATTCATGTTAGCCTGTAGTACTCCACAGAATCATTGATTGCAGAATCAGATGCTCCGTATGCATCCAGGCAGCTCAATATCGTAATGGAAGCTGAAAGGTCTCACCACCGGTGTGGTGAGACCTTTACACAGTGTGTTGCACGGTGCAGGACGGCTCCAGAAGAGTTTATGGTGTCTAGAAGGTAACCTGTATTTAACGTCTCATCTTGCGATCTGCGTTATCTACATTCACTATTTGCCCCACGATGCGCAGATATATTCATGCCGTATTCCGTGGAAACGTGCAGCTTTCGGCGAGTCGTTTAGTTCCAGAAATTGCACCGCCTGCGAGAAGAATCAGCTTAATAAGTGTGGTATTGTGGCAAATTTGCGTCACTTCGATGAAATTTTTTGTTGAAGAAAAAAATGGTTGGAAGAAAAAGTGATCAGCTCATTTTGCTGCAGTAATGAGGAGGCGTCGATACACCCCAAGCAGCCGATTCGTGGAGCGCTTTTGTTATATGAGCTTCATATTTGCAGAGTTCAGCGCGCGTATGCTGACATTATTTTGACTCCACTTTGATTCATCCTCTGAGTACATGCTCGTGAAGATGAAATTCCTTGCCCCCGTTGTCCTTGTTGGTTGCGTCTACACCGCCGGAACCGCCGCGGAAGAGTCGGCGCAACGTGCAGCGACTTCAGTGGAAGACACTGTAAATGGGGTCAAAACCACTTTGAACTTTGCCGGGAAGTACACCAACAGTTGCTTCTCTGTCCCTAACTCCCTGTGCTTCGGTAAGGTGTTTTTTCCTCATTCATGGCATTGCCTGTCCTTACCCATTTCTACCAGGAGGCACTGAGCAGGTCGTCTCTGGAAACTCAGTGCCGGAAGGTCTCGGGGCATGGCTAACATTCGACCACCTTTACTCAGCCGACCAAAGCGGAAATGGGAACCATATGCACAGAACCCCGAGGGCGGGCCCAGCTCATAACGGTGCGCTCAGCTCTACGTCGAAGCTTGGCATCGGTTCATGTACACATCCAAAATAGGTCGCGGTGCCAGTGCTGCATTTGTTAAGGGCGCTAGCAGCAAAATAAAGTCCAGCCCATCACTGGAGTCATCAGATTTCACAGTGTAAGCAAAATTGCTCATGCTGCATCCATACAAAAGCATTCATTCAAATTGCTTCCGCAGCTCTTTTTGGATGTACTTGTTGAGTGACTCCAATGGCCTTTTCCGCAATATTGTTTCAAAGGGGTAGGTCGAATTCAAGCCTACTTCCTCAGACCTTTCTTCATATGTGCCCAGGAGCGAGATGTCCCAAACACCCTCCATCCTGCTGTACCCAGACAGCCGCCGTCTCTCAGTTCGCGTTACAACTGACGACAGCGGGTCCGAGGGAATGCCTTCAACAGGAAGTCTACCGCTAAGACGCTGGACCCACGTTGCAGTTACTGCATCTGAGAACAGGCTCAAACTGTTTTTGAATGTACGGTTATTCGAGACTCCTCATGCTAAACGTAAATTTCCAAATTCTTAACTTTTGCAGGGAATGAAGGATAGCGAAGTTGTGAGTAAAGCCGTTTAGACGACCGCATCCACGCCTCTTCCTATTTTCAAGTAACAGTTCCTTCGCGGCAATGTAGTACCAAATACTGAGGACATCGTTGTTGGAGCTTCCATTGAGAACCCTGGCTTCGAGGTAAAGTGTACCACAGTCCGCACTTTCTTTGGATGTTTCACCGCCTTTTGTTCAGGGATATATTGATGACTTCCGGGTGTACACCAGAGGACTTCCTGTAAGTGCAACCACGCATTGAGTACCTCTCCACAAAGGACCCCAAATCCATCATCAGGAGCATGAAGTATCTGCAATGACCATGCCGGCGCTGACGGGTGTCCCAGATTCCGAGTTTGTTTCGCTAGGTGAGATCAGAAGTGTTCACAACCAAACGAGCATGTGACAACCATTTCAATGCGTACAGGCTGCGATTCTTGTGGATATGACTTCGCAATGAACTCTAACATGTGTGGAGAGCCCGCAGCACACCTTTGCTCACTGCAAGAACTCTACCAAGGAGGTATCCATGCGGCACGCATAAACGGTAAGGGATAATAGAGCGTGTAATTTCGTTATATGTTCATCATAAATTACTTGGTTTAGGTCTACTGAACTCCAAAACGGAGATGTGGCACAGTGACATGACCGCAGGAGAAATGGCTAAGAATGAGAGCCGAATGGCACTATGCTGTGCTGCTTCCCGTGGTCCGGAGAGTGCGTAGCCAACCAAAATATCTGGCTTCTTGGTTGTCTGAACGCTGAAACAATTCGTTTTGTCTTCGAACCGACGTGGATCAATTTGCTAGGAGTGCGATTTCTCATTGTTTTACACCATAGTTTGGTGCATAGAAGTCGAAGCGCCGCGAATACTAGGCACTAAGTATCAGCGTTACTCAAACACACTAGCAGATTAAAGTATTTTGAAACAGTTTACAAGTGTCTTGTAGCATCTCATCTCTGAATCGAGACGTAGATGTGGCCATTTGCAAAATTCTGGTCGACCGTGACAGCATTCGACGAGATGCGAAACTTTAGCGGCACACGCAGGCGCAAACGACAAGTAGCCGGGTCGCCTGGAAAGCAAAACAAAATGGGATTATTCTTCTTTCAATGAGATTAATCTGCTTAGGTGACTGCCAACTACTGCATCGTCACTTGCTTCATTCGACTAGCGAGGATGGATGGTGTATATGTTTACCTGGAAGTTGGATCCGCCAAGTAGGATCATTAAGCCGGCCAGAAAAGAGCAACGTATTGGTGGCAAATTCTCGTCTAACGCTCTCAATTGTTCCTCCTGCATCACAAGACTTGTCACAGCGATTGCTTTAGAAAGTCGAAAATATAGTTTAGTTTACACTGTTCTTTTTCTCGGCATAGTTAGTGCTTCGGAGCATTCCTCTAATTCATGATATTAGCAGAATAATTCCGCTGTAGAACTGTTGGGTATCCAATGTGTCCTGTTTCCCTCCAAAGTATTGTTCATAACATATGAGGTTGCTTGCTTTAAAATGCACCTCTCATCATGGCGCTCTGGAACGTGCAATTGTGTCACACCTGGAAGCACAACTTCGACTTCAAAAGAGTTTTGGTGCTCTGCTGCACGGTAAAGGAATCTATGGGAGGCGTCCTTTAGGGCTGACAGATTGTGTTTCTCTTGCATTGGTTCTTGAGCTGAGCCCCTACACGTTCCTTGGACCTCGTTGGGTTTTTTTAGCTGGAGCATTTTATGCACACAATTAAAATGAACCGTCAATCAATACTTGTCTCTGGAGGTGGGAAGACCGTTGGTGCGTTCGGCAGTCGTGTCTAACGCTCGGTCGTCTGGACAGGGACACATGAGACAGTCTTGATTGTCATTGTGACGTTTTACCGTACCTGGGGGGAAGGCAGGCAGCTCACCCTTGATCTGTTCACATTGCAGGAGACAGAACTTTCAATAGGAATCACAAACCGGTTGTATACTGTTTTCAATGCAGGGGGGGAGCTGGGAAAAGAACTTCGAAAAGATATTAGGTGACTCACGCACGCTCCTGGGTATTATCGTCACATGATGCAGCAGATCCCGCAGGAAGGCACGTTGTGCTTCCAGGATGTAGCGAATCTTTAGGGTAGCCGCAGAGTGTGGCACTCCGCATCTGTTGGCTGCATTGGGATAATGAAGCCGAACCACCTTGTTCAATTGGGTTCCTATTTGGATATAAGCTGGTGCTAGTGCTGTTCTGAACGCTCTCGGGAATGAGTGCTGCGGTGCAGGTGCAAGGATCTGCACTGGCGTCTTGGCGGCAGGGTTGAGCCGGCTGTTCACCTTCCCCCTTGAGATTGATGGGTTGAAAGGTTGGTGTGTTATTGTTGGTTGAGCCGTGCGTTTGCTCTAGGTGCTCAGACCGTTGAGAAACATTATAACTCCACGATAATATGTAGCCATCTGCTGCCAGGGAGAGGAAGGTGACTGATGGGCAGCGTCGAGATTTAGATACTGAACAACCAACATCGTGCTGTTCCAGCTGTACGTAGTACAGGAGTGCAGTTGGCACAGAAGCGTGCGGCAGCTTCGCTGAGACAAACTGAATGATTGCATCTTCCAACCGTTTGGCCACAAGTGGGTCTGAGTTCCTGTTTAACTTGAGATTGGACTGCTTCGAGGCGCTTGCAGATAAGACTGATTCCGAGCTTGGGGCTCGTCCTAGGTCACGAAACAGACTTGCAAGCCCTGCTCCTCTGTGGTACCTTGCCTTTTGGTTAGGCGTTTGCTGCTCATTGCACGTACGGCAAGCTGGCCACACGTTTTCAACCCCACAATATGAACTGCTCTGATCCTGTTGACTGGGTTGCTGCGGTGCAGCCTTCTGCGCCGGGACGGAACACGAAACTTGCATCCCCACCAGCATTCGCCGTTCTGTTTCGTACGCTAAACATATTCTGCTTTGCCCAATGCATGCTGTCAGGAGCAATGGAGCAGGCAGCACACGCATGTTCCTCTGCGGACAAACCGTACACGAATGTCTATGGTAACCACTGCTTTTAAAAAATAGTCGCTTTGCACATATCCTTACCTTGCTACAACGGAAGACCGTCGTGCCGGGTGAAAACCCTGCTTCGTGTCATGTGTCACCAAAGCTACAAATTGGTGTTTCAAGAGACCCAGATGAAACAGGCTATCCACAGGGCATGCGAAAGCACGCAAAATTCCATGGCCACTAAGACAAGGGATTGCCGCGTTGGCTTACATTCCCTTTGGCAATGGTTTCATACAGGACTTCGTGCAGAGGATCACCAGAAGAACGTGACGTTCCTTCAGGCCCTACGACGACGGCCGTAGGTAGCGACAAAGGGACAAAAGAATCAAGAGCCTGGGCATCCTGCGCAACAGATATTGATTCACATGATTCGTCTGTTTGTGAACGTACTGCCACAGAATCAGCCCACAGCAAGCTCAGCTGTTTGTTGTAAGGCTCTGGGAATCCACCTCCGTCAACGAGCTGACGAGAAGACGACCGTCTGGAATAGAGAAGACACTTGGGGGGGCATTAAGGCCGGTAACAAGCAGATGGTCCTGCGCCGCATGCCCACACGTAAGACTAGGGCATGCTCTGCAACATTATCCACGTTCACATGAGTAACCGTCTTCCTGTCTGTTTGGAATCTCTGCACGTGCTGTCCAAACTCATAATGTAAGCTACAATTAGGGGAAAGACCAATGACCCTGTTTGTGAGGAGTTGCCGCAGGTTTCTAAGTTAACAGGGCTCAAGGGTGTATTATCGCCCACTTCATAGCGAGAACATTGTCCAAAGCGAAGAAGTTTCGGTGGCGTGGCGAAGGGCACGTGCAGAGTCGCGATAAGCTCCATATCTAGGGTAAAGGTGGAAGCTTTTGAGTTTTTTGAAGAGTACTCGACGCACGGCCCCCGGCTTCCCAACAAACTCCCAACTGCAGTTGAGTCTGCACTGACATGGTGGGGGAGCGAGATTAGGCGAAAGCAGTTGACGTGGCCTGCTGTACTCGCGACCGCCAAAATTCCCCTCCCACCGTCCAACCCCAATGCAGAAACACAACCTGGAAGAACATCATAAGCACCTTGCACTAGCAGCACCTGCATCTCGGCAGCTGTAGGCAAACACTAGAGCAAATTTCCACAACTTCTGAGTTGTTGCCCAAAGCGTCTGCGGGTGCCGCTACTAACGGGGAGTGATTTGCCGATCTAGAGACACCACCGGCGGGTCTATTGTTCCTTCAGCGCTTTGTTGAAGGGCCAGCAGGATGACGGTCCCCTCCTCTGTCCCGGCAGCAACAAGGCCTTGGGCTTCTCCTCTAGTTGCTGCAGCGGCAACGGCTGTGATGGGCGACTTGAAGTATAGGGGAAGTGCTGCAGCATGCGAAACAACGCACTAAGCTAAATGGCGAGGGCAACAAGTATCCATACAACAGGCCTTTGGCTGGCTGCTGTGTAGACATGGAGTTGTTCAAGTGCATCACTAGGTGCCAAGACCTAGCCTCTATCTTTGGATTACACGGCTTGTGTTTTCCCTGTATATGGCAGAATTAGGGCTTCGCGCACTTGACCTTGACAAGGAGTGAAACTCCCACAAGCGGAGTTCTCCTCCTACGCAACAACGGCCTCCAGTTACGACGACGGACGAGCCGTCCGCCGGCGGGCGTAGCACTTGTTGATGGTGCGAGTCTTGTACTGTAGTCTGCATGGAATATGCAGGTGGTGTGCCTCCTGGAGGAGTCCTTGGGAAGCGAGGTAGGGAAAGGAGAGCGGACACATCGAGGCTACCGAGGGGTCTCTCTTGCAGAACAAGCGATGACTCCTCGGAAAGATGTAAGGCATCAAGGAGCACAAGTTGCGTTCGAGTCGACAGAAGGAGCAGTGGCTCGCTCCAGAAAGCAGCCAACACTTGCGAGCTGTGCAGCGGCAGCCAGGTGGACCCTTCCCCTGCTCTCACTCGAAGGCTATGTAGATGTCGAGTGGCCACCTGCTGAGTAGTTAGAGACCGTTTGGGGAGCAACTCGCGCATAGCAGCAGCAGGAGCTGTTGGTACTGCTGTTGCTGATGTTACCTCGACCTGATGCGGATTGCGGGGCAGTCTCGTTGACGTTGTTCTCTTCTGCGCCTGTTGCTCCGTCAGTTGGCTGTTTCTGCATGTGCTGCTTCGCGTGCTAGTGCGACTCACTGCTGAGGGAGAGCGGTACAGGGTTGCGGTTTTCGACAGCCGACGAGTGAAGCTCCTTCGATTCCCCGGTGCACTCGAAGCTCTGGAAAGCGAATGGCGTCGGGTGCCTCCTGAACTCCATGGACGGCCCACAGAGTCCCCGTAGGTGCTGCGGGGTGTTCGGGAGGGTGCATGTACCGACCCTGTGGCGAAGGGAGGCGATCGAGAAGCAGCAGGTGGCCGAGTGGAAGCAGGCGAACGAGCTCTCCTGGGGATAGTTGAAGTTGTGTCTGTTCCACTTCCCTGCTGCCTACGGTGAGTGGTGCGGGTGTTCAAAGGCAAGCGTAGTGACATCCGAGTGCATGTAGCAGTGTTGGGGCGTGATGCTGCAACCTGTGGTTTATCTTGAGGGAGCTGTGAGCATGCACTTGAACGGCGGCCTGAACCTGCTAGAGAGGGAGTTGCATTGCCTGTTGGTGAGGTCAATGCGCCGAGCGGCAGCAGCTGGACGATACCCTCCTGTGCTACGAGCAGCAACAGGCTCTTCTGTAGAGGCTGCAAAAGTAGAATCTTGCTGCTGCACGAGGGCACGGAGACGGAGCGCAAGGGGGCCAAGCCCCGGAAGACTACAATGCGCCTGTCAGCAAGAGCAGCGATGATATCTCCTGAAGGCAAGAATGTGCAAGCTGTGGCTTCTGGCAGGGCCCCCGTCTGCTGAGTCCCCTCGCCTCCTCCCCCTAAACGGGAAATGCACAGACTTTTGTGGGAAGGAAGTTGAGAAGGCCGTTCGCTGTTCACACTCCAAAGACGCAGGTGCCCCAAACCAAACGTTGCAAACCGAATCAGTGCGCCTTCCCCATTGCTGTACTTTGACCCGCTCTCCGATTTTGTGTCTCCTCCGTCCTGCGGTGTACCTACACTCGATGACCCCCTCCACTTGCTGCGGCATCTGCTGAAGCTGCACAGCCCCGCTAGCCTCGCTGAGGATTCGAGAGTGAGGCCGTTCAACAGCGAGCGGGTGCAGGGAGTGACATGAGTGGGGCGCAACACCGGCAATGCGGAGGCCGCTTGGAGGTGCGCCTCAGCAGGCAGTCGCCGCTGCACCGTCTGAGAGACGTTGAAGTACACTGCAAGAGAGTGTTGAGGGTCAGATAGCAGCAAAAGCAACAGACTACCGTTAGCGCTGAATTGGGCTGCGGTCACCTCCTGCTTAAAGGGGAGCTGCACCAACGCCGCCTCTTCCAGCGTGTGCGGCGACCAAAGGCGACAGACAGGCAGAGCCCCAGACCCCTTTGTGGTAGTCTGCTGTTCCGCTGAAAACCCGCAAGACAGAATGTAGGCCTAATGCTATCAAACAGGTGCTCCAGATTCAAATACGCATACATGAGTGCACTCATGCAAGCATGAGTGCAATGCAACAACAGAAAGCCTGTCTTTTCCTTCCTGTCGGTGTAGATTAAGTTTTTGATTATAATACTGCCTCTTCTTCTTTCGCTGTGTCTAAGAGAGCCGCTTAAAACAGACCGAAAATCCAAGACTCATGTGTTTATACGTGAACTTAAACTCACCAGAAAGGCAGAGATCTAGTGCCTGCGAATACACCAGGAGGTTCACCTTACTGTGGTGACGCAAGAAGACCCTTTCGGAATACGAGGGAGATGGCGGCCCCAGCGGATGTGGTGGGGTTATATGAGCTGAATGGGGAGTTGGCGATACGTTGCATGTCTTGTCTGGCTCCACCTTTTGTGGGTTGACCTCTGAGTCAGACGTAAAGTGCAGAGAACCCTTGAGAGGAGCAAAGACACCAGCGCTGCTTGCAGCATCGCCGCCGGAAGCAGGGCCCCTCACGACACACCAGGAACCCAGGCAGTATACAAGGAGGTGGTCATGGACAGTATCAACTCTTAACGCAGATCGACTGAAGAAGGGAACGACTGCTGCTGCCTGACGAGAAGCAACAGAAAAGCCCCAGCAAGAGCGAAAGGAGAAGGAAGAAGAAGAGAGAGATGCTGATGATGCAGACTCAACATCTTCAGGAACACCACCACCAGGATCTGCACTGCATCCATCAACGCTCAAGTCCGACCACATGCTAATCGCGGCCTTTGCTCTTGAATCGCCTCGACGAGATATCCAAAAGCAGGTTGCTCTGGTAAGCGGTTAATGAGGAGATTACAGCTCACAGCAGGGTCAGGCGTGGAGCTTGCTTTATCTTGCAGCATGAATAGTTGAGAAGTTTAATAAAATGGGTGTTTCGATAAATGAGTTCTACTACGGGCTTCAGGCTCTGCTGTCGGCGGCGAGCCACAAAGTTGGAGTGACGTTGGGTTTACTGCATTATTGTAGATTCATTTCTCTTGAATTCCGTTAAACGTTCATAGATGAGGCATGCAATGCTGTTGCTTTTCGGCGGCGTCCTTACAAAATGCACATCGCCTGTTGAACGTGAGTTGTGATGTGCTGTCTGTGCAGAGGCGCAGCGGCAGCGCCCAGCGTCTCCAGGAGGTGCAGTGGAGAGGCGTCGAAGAATCGGAATGTTGCAACGGATTCGGACAATATAAAATTCCAATTAGTCTTCTGCAGCTGGTTGTTTGCAGAAAATGAGGGCAAAATCCACCTGTCACCATTGCCGCGCTGAACCAGTCTAGACGGACAGCAGCCGCTGCTTAGTCTGTGCTGCGCGTCATGCACACTCAGAAAGATCTTAAACAAGGGTAATAATCGCAAATGTAACAGATTGAAACAAACACATTCTTAACACCCATCAATTTAATAATTAAGGGAATTTCTTGAGTGCCGTGCTATTTTTTATTTCAACGTAGTCTCGGGCGGCTCGCTTACGACCACAGATCGGCGGATCGAGCAGCAACGCCAGCCTGAACGAGCCGTTCCTATCAATGCCACAAACCAACTAAATGATTAAACACTGGTATTTGTAAATAAACGAGTCTGTATATCAACCATAAGAACTACTGATGTGCTGAAGTGACTCTTGAAAGTACCACGACGGGCAGTAGTGACCATTCCCTTGACGCCTCTATGATCGGGCAGCTGAGTAAAGCAAGAGATTACTTACATAGGACAGATCGAGACTGGCGCCCTTTTCTTATTTGATTCTGGATTCAATAAGTGGAATGAAATGTCCGCTTTAATTCGCTGGCTGCGCTGGTAAATGACAAAGATTTGCTGTGCAGTTTGTCTTCAGATTGCTGCCGAACTCCAGTCCACTAACTAGTTTTAATGGCAATACAAGAAGAATGAAACACTTTGTTATTGTTACTCAAGATACATTTAGGCTTGCTGAGGTAGAGGTGAAGTCTACCAGGTGGCATTTCACAGGGGCGGGCTGCTGTTGTATCCTTGGTCTCCTGTGGTGCTTAGGCCTGCCTACCTTCTAACTTGGCACATGAACTCCTAATTGGCTTTGGTTGGAGGACTCCACCCACCCTCCCCCAGAAGCGGAGGACTGTGTATAGTTTCTTGTAAGGAGCACTTACCTTAGTTATTCTGCTGCCACTCCTTTTGGCGACCGCCTTTGTGCATGCTCGTTACAGTTATCAAATTGATGTGTGAGGCGACGGGGGGAATTCCCTGACCTAATAAAGATCACAGTATTTGCCCAAATGTACTTAAAAGCCAAATAATCTTCAAGGAAAGAGATTAAGTACTTCACTGCACAGCTGAAACTTGGATTGAAAGTGTCACTGCGCAAATATTCCCGATTCTGTATGGTAGGTCTAGAGCTGGATAGACACGTGTTCAATTTCCGTCCGACTCTCTCTTACACTCCTTTAAACGTAATGGAAGGAATAGAAGTAATATGAGCTGTCTAAACGCAACCTGAGCTGTTGCTTGCTGAGCTGTATTCCTGTGTATATTCCATCTTTTAAAACCGTTACTAAAAAGGCAAAATGCAATGGTATCCACTGGAGACGACGGGGACAAAGAACGCCATTCAAGGCAGCATTAAGAGAGAAAAAATACAGGATAAAAAATGCATCCATATGTCATCCAAGTATTTTGCCTGAAGCTGCCTGGCTGGCTTCCACCTGCTGAGGCAGCAGGTGCTGCAGATGCGCCTCCGTTCTTGTTGCTGCTGTTGTGTGTTAGTCTACGTCGACTAATCGCACAGGGTGTGGACGTTTGGAAGAGACACTCTTCGTTAATGTGTATTAGGCGCAGCAGCCGATGCACTGAGCTTGAATACACCTAAAACCAAACGCTCCGCTTACAGAAGCGTCGCTTCTGCTTTGAAGCCACTCTTCCAGTATGCAATGCTTTGATGCTTATCGGTGTATTCTAGTATTGCGTATCTGCTAATATGATTGAATGACGTGTGTTGTTGAATATTTGCCAATCTACGTGTTTCTGTTTCATCTACAACTTGTAGGTCCCCTTATATCCTGCTACGCCAACATGTCTTCTTGGTCATGCGACAATGAAAAGAAATATCTGGTCGCTAGGCAGATGATGCTGCTGGCGTTCTTGTATATCTCAGAGCACTATCACTTTATATTCGCGTGTATTGCCTAATAGTACTGAGGGTCGACAGATCAGGCAGATGCTGCACGTGAACACATATTCCTTCTGTACGCAAACCTAAGTAACTCGTCGTTTGTCTGTCTGTTGACAATCTGCTGGCCACTTAAAAGGAGAGTCAAGCTGCACAGCAGCTCCCAAAAATAAACCTTCGTCGTTGCGTCCTCGGAGCGGCTTAGCTTGCGAACGTTGCCTTGAGAGGAAGGCTTTTGCTTATGTGTTCCCTCCCTTCTGCCTCCTCTGCCCAGCAACGCATTGCATGCCTTGAGATACCCTCCGACTGAACAATTCGTTTATCCAGAGCCGTCACTATCACTGTCTCCGTAGGCTTCACAAAGGGAGGCGAAAACATTCTTGTCCTCCTCTTTTGCATCAGCTGGAGTAGTGCTTGAAACCTTTGAGTCTTTGGAAGAGCTTTCACTGCTAACTGCTGCTGCAGCCTTCTCCTCTCCCTCGCCTCCTTTTGCGTCCTCTGCCTTCTCCCCCGAAGGAGTTGTTGCAGATTGGGCGCTCTTTGGCTTCTTGATAATCAGGTGCAAGGAAGGACGAGACTTCAGCAGCAGACAGAGACAAAATAAAACATAAATACTTTAGGAAGAGAAAATTAGACAGGGAGGCAAAAGCAACAAACAGAAACCAATGCAGGCAACCAACATAACCCTCCCATTAGGCAAAAGCTACGGTTTTGCACCCTCTCCAGTGCAGAAGGAAGTGAGGGGATGAAGAACAAGAATTTGGAAGTGTAGACAGAGGGGTAACCACATGTCTACTGAAACATATCAAGGTCTTTCGGCATCACCAACAACAGCAAAGGCAAATGCGGCACAAACATCACACGGCAGAGTCATACTTAAACAGCAGGACATCTTCTCAACTCCCCCTTTGCTGTCGCAAGCCGTGGCTCTACTGATGTGCTGGAACGGTGGCTGCACAGTGTTTTGTGCGTGCTCACCTCAAGAGCTCTCTTTCTTTGTTTCTCTTGGAATACTTTGGTTGTCACCTCAAAGATGCATTCATCTCCAAACGGTGACGACATTTTCGAGCGTTGTTTCTGCAAGCCTAGCATAGAGAAAGGTGAAGGCTTCCCTCCCGATGAGAGGCTGCCTTCAGACTCCGTGCTGCGATGCGTGTGGCTTGAGGAAGCAGAACCCGCCTTCAGAGAAGCCTCTCGAGCCTTGTGGAACTCATCGCGCATCATATCCTCCTCCTTCTGTCTCGCCAGCTTCTTCCGCCTGTCTTGAGCGCGTAAAGCCTCGTAAAATTCAAACTCCTCTTCTGTTACCTAAGGCGTATACGCACACACCCAGATGTGGTGTCCATTGCGGTTATGAACGGAAGGTCATGGACAGGCAATGATGAATTTGAGCAGGAGCATATATATATATATATATATATATATATTAT